CCCCCCCCCCCCCCCCCCGGACAGACGGAGGGTGCCGGGGCTGGGCCGCCCCGGCCAAGCCTTTGGGGAATTGTAGTCCCGCCCCTCCGAGTGGGGAAGGGTTTCCACAGTATGAGGCGTCTTTCTCTGAAGTCACAGCAAGGATCTCTGAGCCATTGCTCAAAACTGGCCCCCTGCCAATCTGAGTAAGAACCCAGGGAACGTCACCCAGGCCGTGAGTTCCCACCTTTTGCCCAGAAAAGGGATGAGCCATGTCTGCAGGTATGCTAACGGGGGTGGGGAGCCTCAGAGGACAGACACACGTCCACATGCCTCCCCCACAGGTGACTCTCTACGCTGCCCCTCCGTGGCCAACCAGACGGGAAGCCACGGAAATGCCACCCGAGACGCGCACCCATGTGCAGACGAGGGGTGGATGCTCTTTGGCTTCGGGACATGACCAAATGCCAAAGTTCCTGGATGTTTCCAGTTTGGGGGTGGGATGGGGGTCATGTTTGGTTTCTCAGAGGGATCCTCACGGGCATGTGGATTTATTTGCTTTGCAGAATGCGTAACCCTCCCCCTCCATACGGCTCCAGGCGGGGCACCTGAGGAAGCCAAAAAGCCCCCAGGACGTCCCGTCCACTAACTCCGCCCGGTCGGCAGGGTGGATGATGTGCAATAACAGCGAAAGAAGCCGAGAGGTGGATGTTGCTCAGCGGAGTTCTTGGTATTCTGTTGCAAGTGCTCATAAAGAGAGAGGAAGTGGCTTCCTGGCGTACCGGACGAGTGAACGGTGATGTAAAGGGCCCTGATGGGGCTGGCTTGCTCAGGCAACGATCACCTTCCCCGGAGAAAAGGGCGCCACGCAGGTGGCACTCAGTGGCCCCCACGCGCCGCCCCTCTCCTGGCTGTGCCCTTCCCGGCTCCCTTTTCCTGCCACGCCAGCCCCCTCGCCATCGCGGGCGCCTGTCCTCGGCTGTGCACCGGCTTCCTCCACGTGAATGTTTTTTCTGACCTGCCCTTTCCTGAGAAAGACGTTGGCCCTGCCAGACATTTTGAGATAGCTGAGTTTCGGAGGAGGAGCCAGGAGTAGCGCTCTTGGGTCCGGCTCTTGGCCTGCAGCCCAAATGGTCAGGGCAAACACCCCCTTTCAACAGCTCCGCCTTCCCTGTAGCCTAGGGCTCTCCAGGAAGACCTGCCCGGAGGTCGTCAGAGTGAACTTTACTGCTGTGAGTCACAGAAATTGCCCCCCCGGCTGCCCCACAAGTGCAGCAGCTCCAGCAGGGTCTCTTTGGGGCAGTTCAGCTTCTGACTCTTTCCAGGCCCTTCCGAACATCACCTTTCTAGGGCTTTTTCCTTGGGATTCTGCCCCCTCCCCCAGAAAGTTGCCTTCACCCATCTAATGAACTCCAGAGATGCCAGGAGTGAAACCCCCGGCCGGGAACGTCCAGAGTCTCTGTCCTTCGTGTGCCAGGAGTTGGGCTGTGCTCTGGATCTTTTCTGGCTCAGAAATCATTCTGGCAGATGGTGAGCTGAGGAGGCCGTTCCTGCTCCTAAGCTGACTCCATGGCACGTGTGCCCCATCTTTAAGGAAGCCCATGGGATGAAGCTTTCTGACAAGTGGCGAGAGAAAGGGCCACTGCTGACAGCAATCGGCCAGCAAGCAAGAAGGCATCCGTGGTTGGACGTGCTCTTTCTCTCTGCCCAAGACCCTGGGAAATCCAACCCTGAGGGCAGGAGGGGGCCTCTCGCTCCAGAGTGTAAGAAGTTTCCTCTTGGGTCCAAGTGGGAAGGTATCCTTGGGCAATCTGATCACGCTTGACTAGTGAAGGCCAGCTTGGGGGCTGATCTTGGGTTCCCTACAGGAATTCTTCCAAGATTGTGGATCTCACCTTCTTCTCTTGGGTTCCTTGCACATTCCAAGCAGACAATGTTCCTCAAAAGAAGAACTGTTTGTTCCCAAACATTGGATTCTTTTCTTACTCTGACAGTATCTGCACTGTGCAATTTTCTGACACTCCCACAAGAGTAAAGTTGGATGGTTCCTAGTCCAAATAAGGGCACAGAGAAATCCCAGTTCTCTCTTGTGGACAGGAAAGTTGCAGAAGAGCTGGCAAAATGGCCCACAGCTGGACATTCTTTCATGGAAGGAGCACTCCTAGGACAGAATTTGAGGGCAGATGAGAGAGGGAAGAGCTTTCTCCCCCTCTCCTAGAAGGTGAGTCCGTGGTAAATCAGTGGAAACAAATAACAGCGAGTTTGGGACAGGGCTGGGAACGTGCGCTTTCAGAACTTGAGGCCAGAAGATACAAAAAGAGCCGTTCGTTTAAAGGATTTAATTAGACAAGTTTGAGATGCCTACAGAAATGATTGTTCCTGGAATCTCTGTGGGTAGATAATAGTTCCAGTTGAACCTACCCCATCAGACCTCCAAAGCCCTCATTACAGTAATTATTTCTAAATGGGAAGAGCTTCAGAGGTCCTTCTCCCTGGGGTGTGGGTGGCAATGGCTGGCCCGGGGGAGGAGCATTGCTTGCATCTCATACCCCCTTACCATCGCTATGCGGACACGCCCCCTCGCATATTGGAGGGGGGCGTTCTTGCCCTGCTGCTATTTACTTTCTCTGCAGAAGCCAAGGGGGTGTTGGCTTTTAGGCTTCCAAGCCTACTAGCATCATCTCCCCAACTCCAAGGAGGCCTTGCAAATTACTGGGGATGAAGGGAGCTGCAGGGCTGTTGCTTGTCATGAACAAAAACAGGATACGTAGTAATGTGTGTGTCAAATAACAAACTGCAGCATCTGGGAATCTAGCAGCTATTCTTGTACCATTTAAGTCATCTTTCATCCGTTCTTCCAGCCAGGACATGCTGTTACATGTTGTACTAACTTTTCCTTCTAATCCACCCTGCTCCCTTGTTTATGACATAAAGCAGGGACATCACGCAAGAGATGTGCCTGGCTCGCTCAGTTCCACTCTTCCAGAAACCAACTTCCCTGCTTGGCTGACTCCAAGAAGAGCCCTCTTGATTTGGGGAAGAACCTTTGCCCGTGCCAAGGTGCCCAAAGGAGGTCTGTGGCTCTCTTGCTGCTGTGACTGGTGGCTAGCCGAAAGGATCCTTGCTGCCCCCAAAGTCCCCCGATCCAGTTTGGTCCGGAGGGGAGCAGGGGCAGCCAGGATGCTGGATCCCTCAGCCCCAAATGCAGAAGCCCTGCCACTTGGGGAGTGCGAGGCCTCGTGCTACCTTGTTCCTGGCGCCAGTGTCCAGGCCTGCCAAGCCGGTGCAGATGCCACAACCTCCTCAGCATCTGCACATGACATGGCGACTTGGGGAGAGGGTCCGTGCTGGGCTTTTGCTGTTCCTGCAGGGCAAGGCAGAGACTGCCTGGCAGGCCAGGGCAGAACGGGGTCCATGCCACCTTCCCTGCCATCAGGTTCAAGCTGGGAACCACCCTGTCTCTGGAATGCCAGACCAGGAGGAAGCGGGTGGGTGGGT